TCAATTTCAACTCCTTGAGCACAACAAATCATATCGGCCATAAAAGTTATTCTTGGGGAGGCGGTTCCAACAGAGGTATCTCTATAGTTTCTTTTGCTTTTTGAGCTTAATATTTCTCAAAATTACTAAGAGACAACATAAAGTCCTAACAATAATGTGCACATTTGCTATTGTTTCTTAACAATATCTTTTACTCTAAAAATAATAATAAAAAAGCTAAAAATTCAAAATTAAGTCTCAGCACTAATGTTGCTCTAAGGTTGAGATTTAAAAATGGTTCAACAGATCTGAAAGAAAGTACCCACATGATTTAAATATATTATTCATGACTTTTCCTAAGAGGTTTTGGTTAAGTTTATTCCAAATAAAAAGCTTACTATAATGTTTTCGAATAGGTTGATGTTATCAAACGTCTTTCAGAAAAGTTAAAACCAACAGAGTTTTATTTCATTGATAACAAAGCAGAAAACAAATTCATAGAACAGAAATGACGATTACATCATAAGGATCAACAACTTCATTCATCTTATTACAAATACATTAAACGTCCCCATATTTATATGGTTGTTTGATTGATGAGAAACAAGTAGAGAGATCACTAAGCGGGGACGATGTTGGTCACAGAGACCTTAACCATTTCAGCTTCAAAGACAATTGCATCATTCACCAAATACCCTTTCGACGTATCCTTTAAATCTGCCAACAATATGATATTGTTCACTCCAACACCATAACCGCTTCGAATCGGATACCAAGCCGCAGCTGGAAAAAAAAGAAGAAGAAAAACTATTAATTTTATTCACCTATATATTTGTTTCTCTTGGATATAACTACTGATTGGTTTAGTTTTCGTACAATATATTTGTCTGTGGTTGGAGGTACGTTGGTTCTTTAAGCGCAGATTAACAGCACCCCAAGTGTTTGTAGCAACTGCGTTAGGCTTAAAGCCTTGAGCATATAAGAAGATTGGAAGTGCATGTGGCCTGCCTCCTCCATCCCCTTTTGGGTTAAAGCCTAGTCTCCTGATTATACATTATCCAAATACCGTTGTCACATATGGAACTATATAATATGGTGAGAAATCAAGTACTAACCAGTAACGGTCTCCGACGAGAAAATCATCAGAATAGTAGAATTTATCTTCCAAAGTGGAGAAACGAAGAATCTTCCAAGTGAAAACATTGTTTGGTGGGTTTGATATGAACGTGACTTTCTCTTGTAGCTCGGCCGGTTTAACTATGAGGATCTCAGCACCAAAAGAACAAGTGTCCTGCACAATGTACCCTTCGTTGGTGTTTTCAAATGTTGAAAGAGAAATCAACTGTCCGAATCCCCACTCTTTTTTAGCCGAGTCGAATCGCTTCACTGTTCCATCTGCAAGAATCCACAAATACAATCAAACTCGGCTTCTAGACTATGCAAATCAAATGGAGGATGAATGGTGAAAACATACCTGTGACACCTAAGTACTTGTGTTGTTTTGGATTGTGGACAAAGAGTTTGAGATCAACGTTGACTTCCCAACCATATGGAAGTGATTCGGTCTCTTCCATCCTCACGTAAAGTGAAATATAGCCATTTCCACCGTCGTTTGGATTACCATTCACGTACAAAACCAATCTCCTGTTTATTTTTATAAAACAATGTCATCAAAATAATATTCATTAGTAAATAATTTGAATAAATGACTAGAATGTTAAGATCATTTACCATTTGTAACCAACAGCTTCAAAAACAGAGGATTCGTATGGTTCGCCTCTCCCCTTAATCACGGAGTAGCCTGCTATTGTCACAATCTTACTTGATGGTCGCTCGTCTCTCAACACTCTTGTCACTCCTGTGAACAAGGTAAGTTTTCCAAGAAAATCAAGAACTATGTTTCAGTGTTTTTACTTTAAATAAAAACTCTGTTTCAGTGTTTTACCAAAAATTAATTAAAAAAAAAAAGGTTACAGACCACAAGCTTACCAAGATTAGCTTCAAGACTGTAAGAACTGTTGATCTCTGTTTCTCTGCCTCCTATGACCTGGAAATGTTTTGTCATATTGTTAAAACCTACTTATTGGTAATAGATCGAGAAAATATTTCAAAAATAAACAAAAGAAGGAACGGAAACACTACCTGTTGAATGAGGAACTCAGCAGAAGAGCAAGTGATGAAGAGAAATGCTAGAGATATGAAACCCAAACTCCATTTTTGACCGTCCATTTTTTTGAGATGTGATGGTTATTGGCTTTGGGAAGGCTTACATTTATATAGACAGACGCATGAGGCTACTTGTTGAGTTGGTTTACAAATATAAAATTCTAAACGTGGTCTCATCGTGGGAAAAAAATATTCTCACATTTTTTTTAGTGAAAGTTGGAATTTATTTATTTTTTAAAAAAGACAAAACTTTCAAAATAGATGATTCTTTTAAAGATCATATAATGACAGATTGACAGGTAGATAATTGAAGAAAACATTAAATTTAAAGCATCTTAGGATTTTAGTTGAATACTTCACAAGACCATTTAAAGATCACATGACTGAAAGCAAGTCTTGCGGAGAGTTTTGCTTCTTTTTTTAATGTTGATTGTTAGTATTTTTTGTTTATTTGAATGTGCAAAGGATCAGATTCGATTTAGTTTTGTTATTTTATGTTTTTTCAAGTACACTCAGCCTGTTGTTAAACAATATGTGTAATGGGAACTGTGGAAGATGTAGATGAAATAGTGGGTGGCAAATCTTCAAAATATGATTTTTGTTTTATTCTGTTAGAACGTTTTACGCATTATTAATGATCGACTCAATGTCAGGTAATATCACTATCATAGAAGAATTCACAGATATTTCATATATTAATTAAAGTTGTGTTCATATCATACTAGGTGACCGATCCGCACCCTATGCGGGTATAAAAAATATAGTATAATGATGAGACAGGAGTATCTATTGAGTTCAAATGTGGGAGTTAGTAGAACAAGTGAGAGTTTCAATGCTGAGACAAGATTTGCACAAATCTCTAGGATGTAGTAGGGGTGGGCAAATCGTTACTTTTTCGGTTTGGTTTGTTTAGTTCGGTTTTAATATATTTTTTCAACTGAAATAAACCTTATTTAGTCTGGTTCGGTGTTGTTTATGTCTAGTTCAATTTATATCTAGTTCGATTTGTTTTTGGATCGGTTTAATTAGGATCTTTGTCGCTTAATTTTTTAAGGAAACCGAAAGAAAAGTCATTAGTATTAGAAATATATACAAAAATGTTACACATCTCATATTCTAACTCTGAATTATATACATAATTTATTATGTGATAAATTGTATAAAGTTATATTATAATTGACATAGAACTATATAGTTTATGATGACAAAAAAAAGATGACAAAAAAAAACTATATAGTTTACATATATGAATTTATAGGATATACATTTTATAATATGATAAATTGTATAAAATCATATTTGAGTACAAAGTTGATAAGTATAAAAAGTTATACTAACTTTCATAATAAAATATTGATTAAAGATTTTTTTTCTTTAGTGTATAAGCAAATAATTATTTGAAAAACATAGAGAAAGTAACAAAGCATGAAACTTACATTGTAGTTTACGTGTTTTGGATGATATGATCATTTGTAATGTTCATGTCTCTGAATAACATGAATGTGAAGAGAGATTTAAGTACATATGGATCCACAAGAGGAAACGTCATAATCGTTGGTCTGCGCATATAAACTAAAATTTTAAATTAACAAAACAATAGAAAAATACATATGAAAGCATTCTTCTCCTTCTAAGATCTAACAAACAATCATTAAATAGAAAGACAATACTTATGAACATATTTAAAAAAGTAAGAATTAGAATTCAAATAGATCTACGATTAATCAAATAATATAGAAAGATAAAAAAATTTCATGCATCGTAGTGAAATCGTTATTATAGGGCATCTGCATTAAACCAAAACAAAAGTCAGCTCTGATGAAATATGTATATATAAAAGCTTAATGATGTAAAATAACAAAAACAGTATCAACATAAAAAGTTCAGAATAAAAAGTTTAGTGGCTTCGTTTCTCCTACTATGAATGTCTTATATATAGTAAATTGGTGGACGTTTCTCAATGATTTAGCTTGCATGATAAGCTAATAAATATAATATTCTCTAATAAATTATTGAGAATATTATATATTCTATACGATTAATCATATGAGAAACTATATATATAAACTATATATTAGAAATTCTATATTCAATATTAATAAGGTAAGTTAATAATAACAAACAACCTAATTAGATACATATCGATAAATCGCACTAAACAATGTAATAAATATGATATCAAGAGTGAATTGTTTTCCGTATTTGTAATAAGGAAATTTATTAATACATATTTTATTAATTTATATTCTTGCGCAAGTAATATCTAATAAGGAAAATTATTAATACATGTATTAATTATTGTAAGACTTGCGCAAGTAATATCTAATGGATTTGCTAAGACTTCTTATAAGGAAAATTATTCATTCGTCATCTAATGGATTTGCTAAGAGTTCTTATAAATAGTGTACAGTTTTAGAAGTAACAGATTTTATATTATCCTTTGTAATTAGAATTGTATTGTATATATGTTGTAATTTTTATTTTTTGGTGAATAATAGTATTATGTTTAATTCTGTGAACGATATAAAATAATTTCTGAATTTTAATTCTGTGAACGATATAACATTCTGTGAACGATATAATATAATTTCTGAATTTTATTGTATTTGTAAATAATATTAAATTCCGTACCATCATAGAAATAGGCAGAATGATGGATGGTAATCAAATAAAATCTCTCTGGTACCTCATCAGCACCTGATGATCCATACTTGTCCATACTGAATTACGTAAAGCTAGACGTAAATGTTCCAACACATATCCGTTAATTTCTTGTGCCCCAAACAATCTGAGAGTTCTCATTGTCTACTGTAATCTGATGGAAGAAAAATATACTGGTTACAATTTTTTTGTCTTTAGCAGATAAGTTGCAGATGAGTAATCCAAAGCATCTTGGTAGAATAGTACGGCTCTATCTTCAAGATGTCTTCAATAGATTTTCTGTATTCCACAATCAACTCCCTGACCATAGGTTTAAGAAGACAAGTATAAGTCAGAGAACGAATAAAATATGATACTGAATGTTGGTAACAATTTTGCTTTACCTTATCTGTTGATCCAACTTCGCAGTGTCTTCTAGTTTTCGCTTCTGCCCATCAACATACTATAAAAAAGGCACACGAAGATCAAACTTTGTTCTGATCCAAATGTGAAAGCTTTCTCGTTTTTTGTTTTTACCATAGTTTTAGATCCTAGGGATCCTGAAACCGAGTTCAGTCACCTGCAACAACAATTCAACGTCTTAGAACCCCTGAACACATGATTTTTGTTAAAGAAAGAGAGAAAAAACAGACAAACCAGGGCATTATAGTTCTGATCTCGTGTTCCAGTTTCAACTGCATTAGCCAATTTCTCCACCAACTGGGAATACCTAACGTTACTTATACCCCAAGGAATCCCATGTAAGAGAAGAAACTGATTCATCAGTAGATTTCTTACTGGATAGAGATGGAAATGAGAAGCTAACGGCTGCTGTTGAGCAGGTTCTTGTGGGAGTTTCATCTCTTGTTGTTGTACCTGGATACGCTGCTTCTTCGTCCGTTGTCGATTATAAAACTGTAAGACGTCAAAGACGATCGTTGAGGTCGATGTATATTATATAGTGATATAAACATGAAGCTTAGATATGGATATTAACGATAAAGAGATAATATATACAAATACAATTTGATGATTCACAATTCAAAGATACATGCTCAAGTCTGAAACGAACATCCTTCTCCTTCTTCTTAGTATCTTTCTGTTGCTCCATGTTTTGTTCATCATTAGCCTCTGTTTCATCGGTGCTTTGTTTCTGCAGCTTGTCTTGATAAGGCTCTTCCCTCCTCTGCCTCTCATTCTGTTCATGTACAGTTTCTTGAGCATCAAGGCTAAGATTCTCTGAAATGTCCTACAATATTTGTTTAAAGAAAAATATATCAACAAGTCAAAGAACTCAGGATCGTAACCAATATAAGAATGCAAATCATTTACTTTATCTACCACACTCTTCTCTACATCTTCGAATCTTTCTCTTGATTCCGTAACAGTTTTTGCCTGAGAATGAACATCCATATAGTTCTAACTCTGTTTCTTCTTGTATCTAATATCATAAAGATCAACATTTAGTTTAGTTACCCTCTTCTCTGGCCTGGTCTCAATAGATTTCTGCCTCTCGTCTTCCTCTCCTTTCTTCTAAGAGATTTGTATCGGCTCTGTTTTATCATGATAACCCACCGTAACTTTCTTGTTCATAATCTTTACCATCGAATCCTGAGCTCGTCCCTGAGAAATCTCTCTGGTAGCCATAGCTATTTTATAACTTGCGTTCGGTCTACAGACATTAGGACATCGTATATATATTGTCAAGCTTTCCTAATGGTATGAGATTGACATATTTAGCATTGAATTTCCAACTTCTCACGCAAGTTATCGAATATAAGGTAAGGAAAGTAAATAACCTATACATTAAATTTTAGAGATACGATTCTCATATATAAATCGTAACACTTGCACGCCAAACAAAAAATAAATAAAAAAGAAAATTAAAATAAATCAACCAATCAGATTCTCAGAATTTCTCTGAGAATGCCTGTATGAGTGCCACGTGTCCAAGTGACTTCTCTTTTAATGTATAGGGGGATTTTTCACCCAAAAAAAAAAAACGTTGTGTTCATATTAATCAACTTTTGTATAGAAAAAGATAATAATTCCCACGTTCAATCCGAGCGCCTTTGCGTCCACTAGGGTCTGGGGAAATGTAGAGAATAGACTCAAATTGTTACTTGCTCTCATTGGTGACATGTACTATTACAGTTTAATTACAACTAGAGTGAGATCCGTGTGATCAGGCGGATGTGTCTTTTTATTTATTTTCGTGATATAGTTAAATGTTTTTACACCATTATATACTTATACAAATTATAATAGGAATGCGAATGCTGCCAAAAAATTATACTACAAATATTGATGTAACATAGTTTTCCTAATAATCATGATTTTTTTTTTAAAAATGATTATGTTACCGTAATTTAATTTAGAAGGCTCCGGTCGATATATTTTAAATCATTGAGTTAATTTAATTATTTATCTATCTGAAAAAGATAAGCCTAGTCCTTTAATTATGTGTTTCCTTCATTGTAGCTATTTTGAATTATTTTAGGAAAACATTAATTATATGAAAAAGATAAACATTTTTTATGTTAAATTAATTAAATTCTCAGTGACATTGAATTGTAAATAATATGCAAGTTTTAGAAGTATTTTATATTAGTACTTTTGTTTTAATAAAGTAGATATAATTTGTAATTTGATGTAGTTTGCAGTAAAAACTGTAAGTTTATATAGTAAATTTGCAGTAAAAATAAAAATTACTACTTTATTAAAATTTATAACTGCTAACATTTTTGATGTATAAACTGCAATATAGATTCTAAATAAATGAATTAAATATTAAACATATAAACACTAAAATATTTATTAAAAATAGTAAGCCATTAAGATGTTTTTAAAATAAATAAAAATTAAAAACATATTTTAGATAAGTATAAAATCTGAAAATTAATTTTCAATAGATATTATTTATTAATATTATAATGAAATGATAAAATATTTATTATAAATAAATAAACCATTAAACTGTATTGATACTATTTATTCTAATATTAATCAAAGTAAATTAAATGAATAACAATAATAATATCATAAACTAAATTTAAAAAATTCAATAATAGTAAAACAATTATAATTCCACCGCAACACTATAAGACATCTTCATCCAAATAAGGCTGGACACAAATACTTGATACTCGGTTTGTATTCGCTACTTGACTCGGCTTGATTTGAAAAAAATAAGTATTTGTTACAATCAAGTCGAGTAGCAAGTAAACCGATTTTATTACTCGCAAGTATAAGTCAAGTATCAAATTTATTTTTATTTTTAACTACTTGACTTGTTATTTGGTTTGTTACTTGTTACCATTTACCTGTCCCATTATTTATTATATATTACTTGGTTTATTAAATATTTAATATCCATTTTAGTTAACTAAATTTATGTATTACATTTTATTGTTGACCACAATTACTTGTTGTTTGCCTTTTATTTGGTACTTGATGGATACATGATCTTTAAAAATTAGTATTTGTTATGAACAACTTAAGTATTAAGTAGTCTATTTAAATTACTTATAAAAAATAAATATTAAATATTAAAAGAAATTAATTACTTAACGTTATTTTGTTTGTTACTTGTGTTTGTTAATGAACAAAAATATATTTTCTTAAATCATAGAAAAATAACTCATTTCTATTTACATTTCCATACGTACATCAAACATAAGTGTTATATTTATATAAGCAACTTGAAGTTTTCTCTTTCTTATATAATCTATTTTTCGAATGACTTAAATACAAGAAAACAATGACATATGGAATTTTAGTTGATGTAAGTTTATGATCTGAGTTAACAATTTTATAAAGGTATTAACTCAAAATTATAACTCAACAACAACACATCTTAAAACAAATCTAAAATCAGAAAATTGAATTTGATGCATGATTGGTAACATTTTTGAATTACAAACCTAACTCAAACTTAATAAAAAAAATAACTCAGGTTACCAATCAAAGCAATTATCTCTTCTAGTCGGTTCAGATAAGTGTATTCTTTCCCAGGACTGAAGAATGATTTAAATGGTTTCTTATAAAGAGTGGGCGGAAGCCATTGTGGCCCTTTCAATGGATCAGCTCATGAAAAGGAACTTTAAAAGAGACATGAACCAGTGTGTTGACTAGCATATCAAAGATGACAGGCGTGTAAACAAAATATACATTAAGGCCCACACCAATATCGTGATGACTAAAGACCAATCAGAGCCCACTACTCAACGGTCATCTTCTCAGAGTTTGTCGGTATGTAGAATAGAGTCTTGTACGGCAAAAGCGAGCAATCTTATCTCTAATCGGTTCAATCTGTTGCTCTCTTTATGTGCTGTGTAAATCACTTTCCAGCTGGCCAGACAATAAGGTCTAGATTGTTCGAAGACCTTTATATATTGAGTATGTAATTGTTTATTAAAAGTTAAGAGAAAGTATTTTCATTTCTTCTTTCAGTCCTTTGTTGTTTGTTAGATGGTATCAGAGCCATTAATACTTTCACAGGTGCTATAATAGCAGATCCGTTAAACCCTTACTCTTTTCCCAGCAATGTCCATGTCCTAAGTTCTATAACCTTGAAACTCAATGACAGTAATTACTTACTGTGGAAAACTCAGTTCAAATCGTTGTTGTCCAGTCAGAAGCTGCTTGGGTTCGTAAATGGAGCCGTCGAAGCACCGCCACCAACTCGTACCGTCACCAGAGGAAACTTTGAAGTAAAAGAAAATAATCCTCAGTTTGAAGCTTGGTTCTGTACAGATCAGTTGGTACGGTCTTGGATCTTTGGAACTCTCTCAGAAGAAGTTCTTGGATCTGTTCACACGCTTCTCACCTCTTGCGACATCGGGATTTCCATGGATGAAAGCTTCAACAAAAGCTACCTTGCACGAGAGTTCTTTCTACACATAAGCCTCTAGTTGCTACAAAGAAAGATAAGTCCTTGTCTGTCTACTATAAGGAGTTTAAGACAATATGTGATGCTCTTAGTGCTATAGAAAATCATGTTGATGAGTCAATGAAGATTTTTGGGTTCTTAAATGACTTAAGCATAGATTAGGATCCGATTACAAAGGTATCCAGAGCTCTTTTTCAAGGTTTCCAGACCCCACGTTTAATGATGTGATTTCAAAAGTTCAAGGCTTTGATGCAAAACTCTAGTCTTATGAAGATATTACTTCCATCACACCACATATGGCGTTCTCCACAGAGGAGATTGGGTCTGGTAACAACAACAGGTAGTCTGCTCCATCTTACAATCCACACTATTGTGGACGATGTCGTGGTGGAAACTAAAAAGGCAGAGGGGTTACATGTCAAGAGGTCGTGGCTTCACACAACACCAGTCCAACAATACACAAGGAGAAAGACCTACATGTCAGATATGTGGTCGAGTTGGCCATACTGTTGTCAAGTGTTACAATCGGTTTGACAACAACTACCAGAGTCCTCAAGCTTACTCCACCTTGCGTATGATTGATGAAACTGGAAAAGAATGGTTTCCATACTCTGGAGCTACTGCACACATCACTTCCTCTACCATCAATCTTCAAGAGCCTCACCCGTATGAAGGAAAAGATGCAGTTATGATAGGAGATGTAGCCTACATTCCCATTACGCATGTTGGATCAGCCAATATTCCCTCTGCATCAGGTAACATCACTCTTCATGATGTATTGGTATGCCATTATATACAAAAGTTACTACTATCCGTTCCTAAGCTTTGTGAATACTTTCCTTGTGGAGTCTACTTTGACGCTAACTATGTGTATCTTATTGATCTCCTAAAGGAGAGGTGGTCAAAAGGGGTCCTCGAAATAAAGGACTTTACATGTTGAAGGATCCGGGGTTGAAAGCCAACCTTTCTGATCGTCATGTTTCAGCTACGGAAGGGATATGGCATCTAAGACTAGGACACTCAAGCTCCCAAGTCCTTTAACATCTAAAAGCCAGCAATGATATTATCATCAATAAGAGCAGAAGTAACCCCATGTGTGAGCCTTGCCAGATGGGGAAAAGTCATCTTTTGCAGTTCTTTAATTCCCAGTCTCATGTATTTCATCCCTTAGAGATAGTTCATTGTGATCTCTGGAGACCCTCCCCTATTGTATCAAACCAAGGATTATGTTATTATGCAGTTTTTGTGGATGATTATACAAGATTTTCTTGGTTATATCCGTTGCATCAAAAGTCTGATTTATATTCCATGTTTGTGGCTTTCAAGACTTTAGAGGGTGTTACTGGAAATAGATTTTGTATGGAGTTTTATAATTTAAAGAGTTTGAGAGATTCTTAAATTTCAATTAGATTTAACAAATATCTTTAAACTTCTAGCAAATGCTTTGTAAGGATTTATATTGAATGTTATGGATTTACATAATATCTTTCAAAAGGTTTCTCTTTATAAGGCAAGATATACGAATCTTTCTTCCTGGAAATTTTTAATGTTTTTCAAGTAAACATATACTAGCTTGCTTTTGATTTGCATCACCACCAAACATTGATATATGTGATATACCATGATTTTGACCCACTTTTAGTCATGGTATATTGGTAATTTTATAGCTATTTATTATATTATAGAAGATTTTAAGCATATTTATAGGTTCACGAGTATTTTGGAAGAAAGTGATGTTTTTGGAGAAGTTTAGAGA